GCAAAGACTCAAACGGTAATTTTACCGCCTGGGTTCTCTTGTCTACCCTCGTAAATTTCTTTGCCTAGTTTAAGAAGACTCAGACGGTAATGGTACCGCCTGGGTTCTCTTGTCTACCCTCGCAAATTTCTTTGCCTACCTTCACAAATTTCTTTGCCTAGTTTGCGAAGACTCAGACGGTAATGTTACCGCCTGGGTTATCTTGTCTACCCTCGCAAATTTCTTTGCCTACCTTCACAAATTTCTTTGCCTAGCTTGCGAAGACACAGACGGCGGTTATGCCGGCTGGGTTTTCCTAGCTATCCTTGTAAAATTATCAAAGCAAGAAAGATGCGACATTCAAAACAACAAAAAGGAAAAGAAGCAAATTCATTCAAAATCGGACCAACCGGTTGAAATATAGCAGAAATAACCGGCATAGCCGGTGAAAATGTTAAAATTGTTTACAAAAAGATAAACCGGCACAGCTGGTGAAAATATCAGTGCTCAAAATAGAAGACAATAGCAGAGTAATCCGACCCTTCCGGCGCTATTACAAGATAATGCATGGCGCGCAGGCCGGGAGGTCATTGCTACTCTACATTCACTGTTACCCGGTCGCCATGACCTTGGCTCCGTTCCGGATGAGCTGGGTCGGTGTTGGGGACGGAGCCGGGAGCAACCTCATCCTCGACTGTTGTCTCCAAAGCAGCCGCTTCCGCCTGCATTCTCTGGAACTCGGCTTCCACCCATTTCTCATATGGTTCGGGCCCCGGCTGGCCCTCCTCTTCAGCCAGAATGGCCAGGTCTGCATACTTGTAGGCCAGCTCCCAGACGTTGTAGTCTGCACCCGGCTGGATGATGGAGAACGCCCTCTTCATTCTGTTTTGGCAGTCCTGCTCATTCTCCTCGATGAGCCGGCTCTGATCAGCCTCTAGGGTGGACTGGAAATTGCGCTGAGCTTCGGCAGCCTCCTTGACCAGGCAGTGATTCTCTAATTGCAGCCGTTTGCTGCTCTTCTCCGCCTGGTCGAGCCGCTTGAGGGGCTCTTCATGCTTTTTCAGCTCCTCTTCAGCGTTATCTAAGGCCGCCTGGAGGTTATCCATTTTGAGCTTTTGCTCCGAGAGGGCCTTTTAGAGGGACTTGACCTGATCCGCCTGTTGCATGATTATAGCTTTAGTTTCTAAGTCATGCACAATCATGGAATAATGAGCGACGCTATGCGCGTCATCCGCAGAACGTTTGGCTCTTCTTACCTCTTCCTGTTTGCGGATGTAGGCCTTCTTAAGCCCCTCCACGCGGAGCAGTGCCTGCAACAATCACACAACCGGTATTAATTGAAAGACCGGATGGGTTTATTACAAATTATATGCCGGGTGGGTACTCAGTGACTTACATCGGCCAGGTTGACCATAACCCGGTCGGCATTGAAGGTATTGATTCCAGGAATCGCTTCCTTCTCGTCCCGGCTCTCAGCATGGCCCGGGCGTATTGAGCAGCGTCCGGCCAGCGTGGTGAGTTATCTGCACCAGAAACAGACGGTGAGAATGCTGTGTACGCTCCACCAACGGACAGCCGGCTGATCGGAGAATCTCCCGGCTGCGAAGAGGAGTACGATTTTACCCGCATGGATATGTCGAGCAATGTGAGAACAAAGGGGTTTGTACCTTTTTGGGATGCCTTTTGGCTTCCAGAAGCAGATGGACCGGTGGCGGTCCTTATTGGAGTGGCCTCTAAGGCCTTCTTAGTGTTAGACCCGCCTGGGGTCTTTATTGATTTACCGCCGGTTGTAGCCCGGTCGGTAGAAGCAGTTCTTGGCACCTTGAGTGCCAGTTCTCCAACAGACGGCCTTGGTCGGATCTGTTTTTGCAAGGAGCGGGGAATAACACCCCCATCCTAAAACAAGACCGCAAACGGTTAGATGAATAAAACAGCTAAAACAATATCTAAGCCAATCGCATAGAGAAGGTCAGGCGAGCTAACCTTTTTAGCCGCCTGAGCGGCAAGTTTCTTCTCCAGATTCTCCTTTCGAATATCTGAAGCCTTTCTTGCGGGTGTCTTGGGGGAGGGTAGCATCTTCTTAGCTTCTTCTGCAAAACGAAAATACATCCGGTCAGAAATATGAATTTTACATTGCAATAAAGAGAAAAAGGTCAGCCGACAATCAATTAACCGGCTAGGGCTCGTAACCTTTGGTTTTCCACATGCTGCTAAGCCCGCAGGCGGACAAGAAGCACTCGTCCTTGAAAAATTCGTGTTTGGGCACCCAGTTCTTGGGTACCCTTTTTATCTCTCCGGATGTGAGAGAGGTAGAGGTCAGCTCGAAGAAACCAGAGTCCAGAATGGCCATCCGGTCGGTATCAGGAACAGGGGGCAGCCGACACTTTTGCCCCAAAATCTCTGGCTTCCGGTTGTAGGTCCGGTACTCCTTGTTCTCCTCTTCAGACGGAGCTTTGACCAGATAGAACGGTTCTTCCAGTCCGACCACTTGGACGGCTTGTCCAAGGTCATCATGTATTTGGGGTGAGTAGTCAAGGTATACCAGGCCCTCCAGCCGCCTGGGCTCCGGCTCAAATAGTGCATATGGGCAAACGCCTCCCAGCCGGGGTTGAGACCCTGCATCTCGCAGGCGGCGATGTACCCTAAAATATTCACCCAAGAATTTGGGGTGAGCTGCCAAATGCCAAGGCCATACCCCCTAAGTATGGCCCTGATTGTGTTGTGAAGGGGGAAGCGGACGCCGGGTAGGAAAGTCGCCTCGTAGCATCCAAACCAGCTGTTAGCGTTGGGCTGGTCATCTTCCCATACAACCGTCCCGAACTCCCCCGGCACGGTCATCCTGTACCCTTCACCAAGCGGCCGCCTGGTAATAAAGTCTAGAAGGGAAGACCGCATGAGGGTGCGGTCCTTTAGGGAGACGGCGATCATGAGAGGATCGTTTCGGCTTTGCCACGAAGGCCTCTCCGCCTCCTCACTATCCTCTGATACGGTTAAGTAGCTAGAGCTACTGCTTTCAACCCGTCCGTCATCGAAACCGGCTGGGGAGTTGGGAGCATCATTGGCAGCTCCTGGCTACTCAGCCTCCTCAGCCGGAGAGGTCTCCTCGTTGTAGGAGCCCAGAATGCTATCGCTTGGGGTGGCGGGGGTACCGCCGGATGGTTCTCTAACCTCCCCGTTTGGGCCTTGAGTTTCAGGCGATAACTCGTTCGAGTCCCCGCCTCGGTAATTGGGGTCCATAGCTGTTCCCCTAATTCTGGCCATGGTGTCCTGCACAGACACGGAGTCGGTCGATACAGGCGTTGAAAAGGGGTAATTCCAAAGATCAGAGGCGGCAGATCCAGTTCTAGACCCAGCCGTACTAATTGATCGGCTGAGTTCACAACTATGGTCCGGGTATGGGTATAAAGGGTCCATCTACCTACGGGACTTGTAAACAAAAATGCAAGCAAAAGACTCAAACGGAAATACATGGAAAAGCAAGAAAGAATAGAGACGGTACCTAAAGTAAAGTGTTGAAAGCCTCAAGAAATTTCTTGGGGATGCTTGCGAAGACACAGGCGGTTTGAATACCGGCTGGGTTCTCTGAGGTACCCTCTCAAAAATCTTTTGCTAGCTTGCTACTGCACAGGCGGTTTGGAAGCCGGTTGCTCTTAGAACTATGAAGTCTCCGCGTGCTCTGAATTTCAAGTACCGGATGCTCTGAAATGCCGGATGCTCTCAAAATTCAAGAAATTTCACGAAGTTTGTAAATGAGCTCTCCTGTGCTTCCTCCCCTATTTATAGGGGTTGTTCCGGAAGGCGAAGGGGCGCGACCTTTCCCCTTCTGCTTTTCCCTCTTCCTTCAGTTAGAATTTGAAGGGGTTTCAAATTCAAATTCAAAAAAAAAAAAAAATCTCCGTCAGCTCTCTTCTCAGGTGCCACGTGGCGCCTTGCCACGTCAGCACCTGAGAGGGGCAAATGTTTGGGGTAAAATTACCCCAGCCACGTGGCCCAATGGATGAGCGACACGTGGCACCTTACCATTGGTCAGCAGGGCACCAATCCTCTGCTGACACGTGTCCTAAGAACCCTAAATGGAGAACCAATTCTCCCCACTATAAATAGTGGGAGAGTCCTCATTAATGGGGAATTCAATTACCTTCAATTCCTCCCAATTGGCATTCAAGACTATCATAAATACATTTACGCTAAAACCGAGCAATCTTAATTGCGGAATTCTCCCATTACGCGAGAAGTAATTTTACGCTTTACACACTTTCTTCCTCCCGAACATCACTGATTTGATCGTTGGAGGCGGAGCTCCACCCAACCGGAGTCTTCGTGGTTTTGCAGGTACAGGCGGTCGAAGGGCATTCTTGGAATTGTAATTCTCCCGCAGGACACATCAATAAACCCCGAAACAACACTAGTATTAATGTGTTAATCGTATATATTATACAACGTAACGTTGTTATTGTTTTCCCCTCTTGAATTGGTCGATGGATTAAGATTAAGTTGGAAAGTTATTTTATAAGATTTATGTATTTTGTTATCTTCGTGTAGCACACCAGATAATTAATTTGGATACGATTATACTAATATATCTACTATCAAAAAATTAATAAAAATGTAGATATTACTATATATATTGTTTCTTTGACTTATACTGTTATACAGTATAAAATAAAACTCATAATAATCCTTACAAATCATTAATCAACCAAAAACTGACGTCTATATATAAGAAAGAAAAATTAAAAAAAAAAGGAAAATAACATAAATCAAATTAAGTTAATTTTAATTATAAAAGTTTGATCAAATAGGGCACATGAAGTAGGGTGAGAAATAAAATAAGTCAAAAATGATAGACCTAAATATAAACTAATGCAACATAGAGTAATTATTAGGTTGTAATTATTATATTTACGGTACTTACACCAGTTTTTCGTAATATATATGTAGGCCTACGTATATATACCCAGGTGTATAATAAAAAGGTGTTGATCATTGAAAATGTACTAAGCATATTTATTACTCCATACCTTGTTAGAGAAGAAGACGCGATTGTATTTGTAACGATGAGCAGGGTAAACCCAAGAATTGCAGACAAAATGTACAGGGCCATGTCCTGGAACATCTAGCGTTACAGTTTTGAGGTAAAATTGACTATGATGATGATTTTTGATGATAAAAGCACCTGGAACACCCAAATTGTCATGCCACTCAAATGTAATATTGAATGTCATTTCTCCAGCAGTTATTGGTATTATTGTTGATACCCATTTTTCTACGTATGCTGATTTCCCCAACTTTCCTCGTAATCCCTTTCCTGTAACAAATATGCAGTACGACCGTATTGTACACATATCAGAGAATTATCGCAACAGAACGTTATTATTTTGCTAATAGACGTCTTTAGTTTGCATATTATGATATTCTGGTAGTACTATATATGCAATTGATGTGTGTTTTATTAAATTGGTAAAATTTTACCGTGATCATTTGATCATTTGAAAAATGACTACCACATTTTTTAAAATTAAACGGTTTTAATATAATGATTTTTGAATCATTTTTAAATGCTAAAATTAATTAAAATTCATTTTCCTTATTTTGGGAATTTAATTTAAATTTTGAAAATTAATTATTCTAATTTTTGATTTTTTTTTTTCAAATTAATTTATGAAATTAAGTTTTAATAATAATTAATAAAACTAAAAATCAGAAAAAAATAAATTAAATATTTTATTAGGAAATATTAAATTGAAATTTGATTAATATCTATTTATATTATATTACTATTTTAAAACCGGAAGTTTAAAGGACACTTGTTCTCTTTTGGCTTTTATTTTATTTTATTTTATTTTTATCAACTAAAGTGTAAATAAATAAAAAATTTTAAAACAAAATCTCTTTTTTATCCCAAACACTTTAAAAATACAATGATCAATTTTCATTTGTGTTTTTAGTTCCTCTAGATTTCATTATATTTCACATTACTTTTCAATTACACAAAAATTTAATAATTTGTCTTCCCTCTCTCTATCTCACTTTTTACTCTTTCTTTACCCTCCCCTCTCTCTACTATTCCTCTCTTTCACCTTCAATCTATAATTTATCTTCAGGAATTTTTTTAAGAAATTTGTTACTAATAAAATCTATAAAAATTTCAAGAAACAATAGTGGTATTGAATTTAAGGAAGCAATCTAAGGTAAATTTTCTTAACTTTATTACAGTGCTTTTTTTTTTTAGTTACTTAAAAACTTTTACAATGACTTTAATCAAAGGTAAAATTAACTAAAAAAAAAAAGCAATTTTGTGAAAGATATAAAAAAATAAAAGGGTAATTTTGGTTAAGGAACATGTTAAATGTTAATTAAAGTCATTGTAAAAGTTATGATAAAAGCTCTAAAAAAATAAATAAAAAATAAAAAATTATTAACATAAAAAAAACATTGAAATTTTAAACGTACTTGTATTAAGAAAAAAAAAAGTTAAAGTATGTTGCCCTTTGGACTTTGGTTACAAAAAGTAATATAACGACAGAAATCTAGAAAATACTACGTAGCTCATTAGGATTTTTGGTTTATTTAATTTAAATCAGGTAAATATAAAGCTTAATATAGATTATTATATGTTTCTTTACCATCCTAAGGAGTATTATTGTATTAAGTAAATGTAGATAATAATAATAATAATAATAATAATAATAATAATAATAATAATAATTAAACAAAAAAAAAATCATAAATCATACTAATTAAATGAATATACCAATAATTTGTTCGAGAGACTTGTGGTACTCCTTAATATTTATGATGATGGAATTTCATGTCAATTATGTCTTTTTCTTAATAAATCTCTATTATTACTCGAACAACGTTTTAAAGTAGAAATACATAATGATATCTTATGAAGAAAAAATTTATGGTGGTAGACGAGACCTTAAGACACTTCTCACAAAAGTTACAAATAAAATCATATAAGTACCGAGGTGTCAATTTGGATGATTGGATTAGGTATGATGAGGTTGGGTCAGGTCAATTTTTAAAGTTGAGTCATGCTAAATTATTGTGTCCACGCGAGTTCAAATCTGAATCGGATATTTTTCGAGTCGGTTTCGAATCGAGTTGGGTCAGATGTGATTTTGACACCTCTACCATGTAGTATTCCCTCTGAATCTATTTACATCCGAAGTGTTTTTGATTAACAATTTTCTTCAAAATTAAAAATTAATATTTTAATAATACGTATTTATTTGAGCATAATTTCTTCTTGTAGTATATTGGTAAATTTTTATTCAAGTTTCTCTTTATTCATATAATAATAATGACTTTAAATGAGACAAACATATAAACAAAGGGGTGGACTAGAACTGTATTAGCTACTAGTACTAACCAAATTAATTATTACACTCTTCGTCCCTCAAAGATTTCCTTAGTGGTCATGTTCACTTTTTAAGGGGAAGGCAAATTTAAACCATATGAATGCATGGGAAACAAAGAAGATTAATGAGACAAAATAAAGTTTTTCAAAATAATACTACCTCCGTTAACGATTATTTGCAACATATACTAAAAATGAGTGCTAACTATTATTTGCAACAAACTTATTTCTTTTCTATTTTAGTAACTTTTTTCTGTTAAAATGACAAAAATACCCTCATTTAAAAATTATTAACACATAATATTACACATAATTACAAATTATTATAGCTCTAATCTAAATTAATTATGTATGTCTTCCCACCCTAATAATCAGATTAATCTCAATTCATCTCCCAAATTATCTTTCTCTCTCCTCCTTCATCTCTCATTTCCTTTTCTTCTCTCTCATCAAATTCCAAACCTTTGTTAAAGGAGGTTCCAGATATGGTTGTTCGTCAGTGGTTTACTTGTATTTGTGGGTGAGTTAGCAGGTTTGTGGGGGTGCATTGTGGGTGAGTTTGCTGGGTTCGTGGGGGTTGGTTTTGGTGGTAGTCGAAAGGTATCATATATGGCTAGAGTAGTTGATTGTGGACTAAAATAGGTATCAAAACCTTTCCAAGATATATAACGACATAAAATCACCCATATGCATGTGAAATTCAATTGGGTGGGGTGCCCAAAAAAAAAAAAAAAAAAAAAAAAAGAGCAATAATTTTAAAATGTATACTCCAATCCTATACATGTAACAATTAGGTCCACTAACATATTTTGCAGGCTAGAATACAGAACTCAGGTATTCAATCTTTTCATTTTGAACCTATGAACCAAATAAATTGAGTTCATTTTTTAAAGTATGGGTTGAAGGAAAGCCAGAGTAACCTTACCAGGGTCAGATTGATCGGCACTAATGAGTTGCAAGGAAACACCCTTGCCAACAAGCTCATGAATACGATCAAGAAGCGAGGCCAGGACATCGGTCAAGTCGAGCACATTCTTTTTCATCAGAACGACTGTCCCTCTAATCTTCTTAATGTTACCATTCTCATATGTCTCGTTAGTATTGTTGTTACGGGAATGGTGTTGGCTCTCTTCGCCCACACCATTCCCGACTTTGTAAACATTTTTTCGGCCGCAGATTAATATGTCTGCGGCCTTATTAATGATGTTTGAGCTGGGAGGAGAACTCATCTTTAACTTCCACCGTGGAAGTTGGAAAGAGAGAAAAAAAGGACAAAGGGGATTACTTAGTTGTAGCAAAAGTAAGATGTTTGATGTGAGGAGAACAGAGATCCTTTAGCAGCTTTATTTATTTATACAAGTACATGAAAATTTTACATACTACAAAGTATTTTCTTCTTTTTTTTAGTATATGCCCGTATATCAATTTTTATGAGAATAAAGGACGGTGGAATATTGTGCTTCCTCCATTTTTTTTTTTTTTTTTTCACTCCCTCTTTTAAATATATGTTTCACTTTATTTTAGCAGGTCTAATTAAATAAATGCTTTATTTTTATTTTTGAAAACTTACAACAAACTATATATAACTTATACTAAAGTAATTGCCGCTGACATCATAACTATTTACGCGGCAGCTTCTTATGAAAAAATTTCCTCCAAAATTATTATTGACATCATTTTTTTTTTCTTAAGGTAAAAAGTTAATGTTTGGAAATGATTGACTAATTAAATATTTTTCTAAAATCTTTTATGACTATATACAATTTCTATTCAAATGAATTAAAATTAAATGATTGACGGGTGGTACAGTCTCTTTCACTTTTTTTTTTCTCTTACGTAGTTTTTTTTTCTTAAAAAAATCTCCTATATTTTACTGTAATAGTGATTGTAAATTTTGGATTTTACACTCTTAATTAATTCTTCAAATTTTCTATAATAAATCAAAAGGGAATGCTAACATTTTTAAAATGTTATTATAGCTATGAAGTTAATTAGAATAATTAACATTATCATATTTTTTTTTATTTTACCTCCATTAATCTAACGAGAGGGATCACAATTTATTATGTTTTCCTTAAACAAGTAAATTTTTTATCATTAAAACTGTGCATCACATAGGATTATATATATATATATATATATATATATATATATATATATATATATATATATATATATATATATATATATATATATATATAATACTAAAACAGACATCATGGTGATGTTTTTTTTCCCCTCCAAACCTATATTTGTCTTTTTTGTTCCTTATACCTTTTTTTTTAATTTAACCATTTTTTTAGGAAAGTTTTTATTATATTTGGCTAGAATCTAAGTATTTCCTATTGCTCCTTTGATAATTATTTCAAGTTTTCAACTATAAGATTGTTTCCTATGATTCAAGATTAAATTTATCAAATTAATTTCCAAGGTTTAATATTCTTTTTAAAATGAGTCAACACTTAATCTTATTTAGTTTTTCAAGGCAGGTGTTTTCCTGAATAACTTTCACTACAATTGAAATCATTTTAATCTATTTACAATATCATTTACTTTATTAAAATGATTTCAAACACTTCTTTCTTTGCCGATTTTTGAATGATTGACATACTACCATAAATAGAAAGGAACCACCATTATTAAATTTATATTTTCATCAAAAACGTTAATCTGTTGTCTTTTTATACATATACATAGTGTTGGATGAGCTAAAAAAAACTTTATATAGTTTTTTAAAAAGTTTAATTTAGTAATATCATTTACTTTAGTAATATTTGTATGGGAGCTAAACTAGTATATATTTTATTATTTTATTCCCTATTATTGGTCCACTCATATTATATTTAATATATTTTATGCATATTCTCTCTCTCCTTCCCACTTATACCTACTTTTGCTTTTTCAAAAAAAAATTTATTCTTTAATCTACCACAACACTTCAATCATAAATTAATGTTTTTCTACTATTCCTCCTAAAGCTCCGTGTGAAATATAACACTTAATTCAAATACGGAAAGAGTATTAAACCATCAAATATTACGTACAACTAATAGTGAACAGATGAATTATATTATTAAGCATCGAGGAGAGAAGTTTTCAAATAGGCACAACAGTCAACATGATATGAAATTTGATAAATAAATACTCCCTCCGTGATCCATCTCACATTATAGTTCCTGTTTTCCTATTATAGAGATCCAAAATGTTATTCTTGTTTCTATTTTTGAATAGTATGTAAACACCATTATACCCTCCTTTTTTAAAACTTTATTCATTGTACTTTCTAAATTATCCTTGAATTTTCCATTTGCTTTGTACTTTTTTCTACTTTCTCTCTCTAACTTTTGTCTATAATTGTACTTTTAATTTCACTTTTTTTTAATGTATTTCATCCACTTTCTCCTCCCATTTCTTAAAGAGAAGGTATTGGGTGCGGCAAGCCGCACCAAACAATTCGTGCATCAAGTATTATATATGATATGCAGTATTTGATATAGGATATGTATTATTTGATAGAGCATATATACAACTTGTTGGAAGATATGTGTTATTTGATAGAGGATACGTACTGTTTGTTAGAGGATATGATGTAGTATTTGGTGGAGGATATGTGTTAGTTGATAGAGGATACGTACAGTTTATTAAAGGATATGTAGTATTTGATGGGGGATATGTAGTATTTGATAGAAGATCTGTACAATTTGTTAGAGGATATGTGTTACTTACTAGAGGATACATAAAGTTTGTTGGAGTACATATATAATTTTTTTAAAGGTTTTTATTAGTGGGAAGTGCTCGATGGATTGAAGATTAAGCTGGCTCGAGTTAAAGTGTATGTGGAACACGTTCGATGTTGATTTGTGGGGTTAATGACGAATAGTAACCTTTATCTCTTTATTAAATGAAAATTAAGGTATCGATTCCTTATTTGAAGATCGATATATCTTTTTATTTTTCCTTGAATATTTCTCATATTTGTTTTTGGGTTACATCTTCCTCCGTACATGAATCACGTTTCATATGATTCTTTGCACGTAAAATGGCTTGCGCTACTTTGCACCTTCCTTGACCTTTTCCCCACTTGCCTTTGTTTATTATAAGGAATTAACTCACCAGTGCATAGAAAAAAAGAATAAAGCATGCATCCTTTACATTTTAGATTTGATATTATTATCTCTAAAGGATTAACAAAAACAGAAGATAAGAATGAGATTGGAGAAGATTCAAGTTTATAACATCCATAAACTCACGGAGTTTATCAAGGGGTAATGTTGACAAAGTACACAGCCATGTGTGGGTATTTTTGAATGTTTTTAGTTTAACCTCTAAGTTAATACGGATAACATACGTCAATTTTTTTTTTAGTAATTGTGTTAAACGTCTCTTGACTAAAAATTTGTCTCCTTTTGTTTGGGAGTATTTCTTGTATAAATCCGTGAAATATATAACTAACAAAGTTGTGAACATATCTGAACCATGCAGCAAAAAATATTTATGTTTGCAATTTAACGGAAAAAGCTAGAGGTACACATAGTGTACAAAAGAATATTGTACACCACCAATTAGTAATCGCCAACTCAGCATTGAAGTTAGGGAAACTAAAAAAAGAAGAGGAAAGGAAGAAAAGAAGAGGGAAAGAAGAGGGAAGCAAGGGCGGCAAAAATTTCAAGCTGGGTGCCATTGGAGCTGAGGAAGCTAAGTGGGATAATTTTCACTGGGCGCCAACAATTAATGCATCAATTAATGGATAATACACAATGAAGTTCTCAATTAAGCGTCAAAATTTCCCATCTTCTCCCCCAAAATTTCATCTTTTCCCCCAAAATTCCTTGGTGAAGAACATAGCAATTTGAATAAGCGAACGAATTGTGAAGAAATTATTCAAGTGCGGATATCAATTTCGTCAATCAGTTACAAGTATTCGCAGGTAATCTTGTTTGTTGTTGAATTATTTCGTTTAAATTTCCTAATTTGATGTTTTTGATAATTTAGGGTTTTCATTGTTTGATTTTGAAGAAAATGATTTTGGGTAAAAATTAGAAATATTATAAAGATTGATTTGAAAGGGTAAATCATTTAGATTAAAAGATTGATTTGTATGTTGCTTTGGTTTTGTGTATTTTATAATTGTTTCTTGTTAAATGTTATTTAATTGAAGGAGTGTCTCTGGGTTCCATTGTAATGGAAGCAATTGTTAAATGGAATCGAGGTTTATTTGCTGTTAATAATATATTATTTTATAGGATCTGTTTGTTATACGTAGGATCATTTTGTCAATATTAAATTAAAATATTTTTTTATAGTATCTTTTTTTATTTTGTAGCATCTGAAATAAAATACAGTAGTGTGTTTGACATTGTGGCAGTGAAATGGAAAGCGAAAACATGTCCCTTCATTTGAACATTGATCTTAATGAAGTGATAAACTATGTGATGAGCTCAATCGGAGATGCAGAATCAAATGATGTAACAGAAGAAGAAGCAGCAATGGCATTCGATCTTAATGAAGAGGTTGAGGTTAATAACATTGGTAATAAAGAGGTTGAGGTTGAGGTTAATAACAATATAAATGAACATGATTCTCATAATTGCACTAGTACAAAAACACAAATGCGCTCTGAGGAATTCGCACCGATTCTTAAAAATCGGTGGGAAAAAACGAGGCGGGATTTAGTGTAAGAGCAATGGCACCAGCTCAAACCAAACCGGTGCGAATTTCTTGAAATAGCACCGGTTCAAACCGGTACCAATTGTTTTCCTAAAAAAATCCGCCCCTTTTCCTTCTTTCTCTTTCCCCTTTACTTTCTTTCTGTTTCCTCAGTCTTTTGTTTTATCTCTCTCTTCTCTCTCCTCTCTCCTCAACATCATCTCTTCATTTTCTCAGATCTCACCATCTTTCATTCTCTCTCTAGAACTTTCTCTGTTTCTCTCTCTAGAAGAAGAACAAGTTAGCTTGAGCAGCAAAAATGGCAGGAGGTGGATCAACAAGCAGCAACCCGCCCAAGCAGAGGAAGAGAGTTGAAGTTGAGTCTCCAGATGCTGAGTCTTCCCCTTCTGCTACTCTTTCTCTTAAGCGTACCAAGGATGGAAACGCTTTCTCTCGCTTGTATTTTTCTCCCTATATCTAAACCTAGGTTTTACTTTTTTTGATTTTTGATTCATGTTTTTGTGCTATTAGTGTTGTTTAACCCTAATTTTTCTTCAGGTTTTAGACTTGTGTATTCAATACATCGCTCTTTGATTTCGTTGTAGACTTCTTATATATTTTTAGTTGCTAATTTTTGGTTTGTGATTATAACCAGAGTATTCCTCACGTTTTATTATGTAGATTTGTATTTTTCTTTCTTAAACCTGTTTGATTTTCTTCCTGCTTTAAGAATGGTGAATTTGTTATTGCTTCTAAGCTGAATGAGCGATTGCTAAATGTTTAGTGGTGTTTATTTAGCTATGACTGATAATATTTGGTGGTAAGTTGGTAACTATTGAAAAGTTAATGATTATAACTAGCAATG